GTTTACTCACTTAAGTCAACTCTCGCTTTTAAATCAGCGAATTTACTCACTTTTTTAACAAATAAGTCAACTAATCGCTTTAAAAGCAATGGGTTTACTCACTTAAGTCAACTCTCGCTTTTAAATCAGCGATTTTACTCACTTTTTTAACAAATAAGTCAACTAATCGCTTGAAAAGCAATGGGTTTACTCACTTAAGTCAATTCTCGCTTTAAAATCAGCGAGTTTACTCACTTTTTTTTACAAATAAGTCAACTAATCGCTTGAAAAGCAATGGGTTTACTCACTTAAGTCAATTCTCGCTTTAAAATCAGCGATTTTACTCACTTTTTTAACGTAAAGTCAACTAATCGCTTGAAAAGCAATTGGTTTACTCACTTAAGTCAACTCTCGCTTTAAAATCAGCGAGTTTACTCACTTTTTTAACGTAAAGTCAACTAATCGCTTTAAAAGCAATGGGTTTACTCACTTAAGTCAACTATCGCTTTTAAATCAGCGAGTTTACTCACTTTTTTAACGTAAAGTCAACTAATCGCTTTAAAAGCAATGGGTTACTCACTTAAGTCAATTCTCGCTTTTAAATCAGGAAGTTTACTCACTTTTTAATGTAAAGTCAACTCTCGCTTTTAATCAGGAAGTTTACTCATTTTTTAACGTAAAGTCAACTAATCGCTTTAAAAGCAGTGGGTTTACTCACTTAAGTCAACTCTCGCTTTTAAATCAGCGAGTTTACTCACTTTTTTAAAGTAAAGTCAACTAATCGCTTTAAAAGCAATGGATTTACTATAAGTCAACTCTCGCTTTTAAATCAGCGAGTTCACTCACTTTTTAACGTAAAGTCAACTAATCAATTTTGAAAATGGGTTTACTCGCATTTTAAGTCAAGTAATCTCTTTAAAAGCAACTGATTTACTCACTTTTTAAGTCTACTATCGCTTTGAAAACAACGAATTTACTAACATGTTTTTGTAAAGTCAACTAATGGTTTTAAAACAATGGATTAAAGTAAAATCTAATTTCTTTAAAAGCAATGGGTTTACTCACTTAAGTTAACTATCGCTTTTAAAGCAACGAGTTTACAAAATGTTTTAATGTAAAATCAACTAATCGCTGTAAAAGAAATGGGTTTACTCACTTTTTAAGTCAACTATAGATTTTAAAGCAACGAGTTTATTCAATTTTCTAAATGTAAAGTCAACTAATCAATAAAAAAAAGTGTTTACTCACATTTTAAGTCAACTATCGCTTCACAAGTAACATGTTTACTTGCTTTTTAACGTAAAGTCAACTAATCGCTTTAAAAAGAAATGGGTTAAAGTAAAATCTAATAACTTTTAAAGCAATGGGTTTACTAATGTTTTATCTAAATCAACTAATCAGTCAGTTTTAAGTGTAATCAAAATGTGGCTTTTTAAAAAATCTATAATTTTAAAAGCAACGGGTTTACTCAATTGTTTTTTAAGTAAAACCAACTAATCAGCTGTAAAGGCAACAGGTTTACTCCATTTTTAAAGTAGTTTGTAAAGAACTGTTTGTGAGCAGGATGCAGTAAAGAGTTTATTAAAGTCTCCTGATGTGGTTTATTGTGGTGTTTGACGCCTGATTTCTCCGGCTGGATGCGCGTCTCTTCGCCCACAGTCAGATAATGCGCGTCTCATTCTTCTCTGCCCATGTTTTCTGCTCAATTAGTATCTAGTGAAGCGCTTTTTCTCGTTTGTCAGCACAAACACCTGCATCCGGACTCGTCCCCCATCAATACTGCGTTATTCCGCAAACCTTCACTTATGCGCTCAGCGAACGGGCGCGCGAATGACAGCGAAATGATACGGTACCGGCGAGATGTGCGCGGGAAATCACAGAGCGCGCGAAACACCCGCGCAGCGCGCCATTTCACAGCAGGTAGCGGCGCATAAAGAAGGCAAATTACCAACAGCTGGTTAAGCTTTGTTTAGCTGCTTTCTTTTGTGTTTTCAAGCACTTGGCACTCAAAGTCAAAGACAAACCAGTGGCTGTGGCACAAAATCGGCTGTCAGAAGACATGGTGGTTCTCAAACGGGGGACAGGGGGCTTCAGCAAACATGGAGAAAAATATTTATCATTAATAATGTCAGCTGAAATAAAACTCAAAAATATATTAAATATATAAATATATAAACATATTAAACTTTGACTAATTGTTGTGTTTGGTCCACTTAAATTTGTAAAAATGAATGTCAACTTAATTTGTTCATGTTGTCCCAACAAAAAATAATTGTGTGGAACTAAAAATTATTCAAAGATGATTCCTTGGATTTACTAAATTTTTGTACGTTAAGTGGTTGTAAACTATTTATTTGTGTTGAATTTAAACAAACAAATAAATTTGAACGTTATTAACGTTTTGTTTTAACGTTTTGTATTATTTTGTTTAAATTCAACACAAATAAATTGTTTGCAACAGTTCTGCATGCAACACTTTTTTATTAGTTAGATTATTAGTCAATTGCACATGCAGTGCACACACTATATTGGTTTAAATGTGGTGCTATCATTTTAATTACAGAAAAAGTGGTTGGCTTTGTCCATACTTTGCTCAGATTTAGGTTGACATGACCCAGCAACCTTTAGAATATATATCAAAATATTTGATAACACTTTAAAATAATATGCTACTCCATTAATAGCTAGTATATAATTTATTTGTCTTTAATCCATAATGAAAACAATTCGTTGAAAGTTATTGTTAATTCACTGTGCATAATAACAAGCTTAATTTTGATTTTGTGTATTTATTTATAGTTTTTATAGATTTTTTAGGAACATATAACCAGTGGGAACAAAAAAATAAACAAAAAATAATAGTAATAGTAAAAAAAGAGAGTGTATATATATATATATATATATATATATATATATATATATATATATATATATATATATATATATATATACATATATATTATATATATAATTATATTAATGGAGCATAACCTTTAAATGTTAAAAAACTATTTTTCTAAATAAAACGCTAAAAACATGAAGTGAATGTCATTTCATAATATATAAGTATAAAATGTTACTAGGTCTATTATTATTATTATTATTACTATTATTACTATTATAAATAATGAAACTTCCTTTCTAAATTAAAATGCTGAAAAACATTAAATATGTCAACTGAAATTGGCTTTTTATGTAATGAAATATTAAATATCATTAATATTTGGTGTATTTTATAACCCAATTCAAAATGACTTATGGCTTTATTAAAAAAAACATACAGGTGTTGACTCTTCTGAATGGTTAGATTCCCAAAATGAAGTAAATGAATAATAAACAACCCCAGTTTCTCTTTAAAAACTGAGCAGCTTAATTTTAATTACAAAAATGAACCCAGCGGTTGGTTTTGTCCATATTTTGCTCAAAATTGGGTTGAAATAATACTTTATATTTTACAGTATTTAGTTTATTTGTTTAGTAGAATATTAGAATGTTTGGTCATACTTAAAAATAGCCAATAATGTTTACCTAACATGAACAATCAACATATTTATTCCTCTTTGATCATTAATGAAAACAATGTCAGTCATTGATGGTTATTGTTTATTTACGGTTTATTAATAGCAAGCACAGCTTTCAACTTTATTAACACATTAGTAAAACTTGAACTCTGATTGTCCTTTCTTTATCCATTTTAGTAAACACAACTTACATCATTGGACCTTTACTTTAAAGTGTTATATAAACTATTTTTTTTATGTTAAAATGCTGAACAGAAAATGCTGCAGCCTGAAATTTACACCTGCATGTCTTATATTCAAACACTAAATAAATAGCATCTAAAGTATTTAAATTTACAATTAGGTCAATTGTTAATAATATAATAGTTCTGAATAAAAATGCTAAAAAAAGCATCCAGATTTAAATTGAAATGTGAACTAAAATGGCATATATGATTATAATATTAACCTTAAGCATGTCATTTGTTATCATTTTATTATTTATTTATTATTATTATGTTTTTAAATAATACAACTTGTTGAAAAGTAGTCAAACTTGCTGAAAAACATGTAATATGTCAACTGAAATTGGCTTTTTATGTAATAAAATATTAAATAACATTAAATATTTGATGTATTTTATAACCCAATTTAAAATAATTTTAATATCGTTTGAAAATATTGTGATTAAGTACAGAGACAGCTTAAAATGTCAACAACAAAATATATTAAAAGATACAAATAAAGTAAGCATGCCACAATAATTAAGTGAGAAAATAAAGCAGAACGCATTAAAAGTGAATCAATGGCGACCTCAAGAGGCCACTGTGAGAACTGCTGTTTCTCAGCTCTCACGAGGAAATATCCAGAGTTAAAAAAAACCTTCATTCATTCATTTTTTTTTTGGCTTATTCTCTTTATTAATCAGGGGTTACCACAGCGGAATGAACCTCCAACCTATCCAGCATATGTTTTACACAGCAAATGCCCTTCCAGCCGCAACCCAACACTGGGAAACACCCATACACTATTGCTTTCACACATACGGTCAATTTAGTTTATTCAGTTCACCTGTACCGCTGTGGACTGTGGGGGAAACCGGAGAAAACCCACGCCAACACGGGGAGAACATGCAAACTCCACACAGAAATGCCTACTGACCCAACTGAGACTCGAACCAAACGACTTTCTTGCTGTAAGGCCACAGTGGCAACCACTGAGCCACCGTGTCGCCCTAAAATTCACCTTATATAATAAAATCATATATAATCGCGTTATTTTTGCGCAAAATATTTCTACAGCTAAAATAGACACTTTAATTTCAAACTATTTCCAAAACCACGTCCTATTTTGTGCTTTAGCCTCATGACAATACCTCACAAACCACATCATCACACATTAATCATATGAATTAGGCTACATAACAATAAAAACAGAGCTTGGAGAAAGTGTGCATGTAGAGGATTTGCTTCTGTCACGCATTCTTTCGACGTGCACCTGTCCGTCACGTAAACCGCATGACTGTGACGTCACAACGCCCAACTTTCAGTTTGCGTGTTTTAATGGGAATGAAAACTCCTGCGTGCTGAAAAATGGGAAGTTGTTGTTGTTGTTGTTCCTCTCCTAATGAAGACGGCGAGGTAAGAGTGTCGTTTAAAGATTAGCATACTTAATTTTGTTATGTTAAAATATGTGTCTGTGTATGGAATCGTATGCAAGGTGGATCTGTACAGCAAAAGATTAAGGTGTCTTCCTACTCACAGGTGTTCTTTAAACATCTGAATATTCATATATTAATAATTATTTCAGTATAACTCAATGTGATTTTCAAGCTGTTTTCACGCCCCGTTGCTTCAGAACACAAGCGTTTCAACTTTGTGTAAAGTAGGTCATATGAGACGATGACAATGGGGAAACAAATATTGAGCAAGTAAAGGATTACAGTGAACGAAAAGTATGTGGAGTTATGTGTGAACGAATGGAGGTTTACTCTTGCGTATGTGTGTGTGTATTCAGTGCATCCGAACTTCATGAATCTGTGTCTCCTGAAGTTCTTTATTTTTGTATTGTAAGTTCTGTATTTTTCTTAATGAGCATTATTTTCAGCTTTGAATGTCATTTTCTCATCGTAGTCAGAACCTTTGCTCCGGACAAACAGCAAAACAGAATCTGCAAGACCACTGCGACCAACTGCTAATGGTACGATTTATGGGCTCCATTAACTGTATGAATATTAAATCTGTCTGTCTAATCTGTAATATTTGTCCTGTTCTTTGTCATTAATGGTCACTGTCATACTTTTGCAGTGCCCTATTTGTAATATTTGTTTTATGTGGAGAGACTTTATTTTTAAATGTGATATGTCGATATGTCTTTCAAAACTTGTAGAATTTGTATCTTATTATTTTTTTTATATGTTATCTATTGTTGATGTGTCTTTATTGTTATAAACATGTTTTTAGTCTGTCCGTCCATCCATCTATCTGTCCCTCTGTCTGTCTTATCTATTTGTCTGTATGTCTGTCTGTCCATCCATCCATCCATCCATCCATCCATCCATCCATCCATCCATCCATCCATCTATCTATCTATCTATCTATCTATCTATCTATCTATCTATCTATCTATCTATCTATCTATCTATCTATCTATCCATCCGTCTTCCTATCCCTCCATCCATCCATCCATCCATCCATCCATCCATCTATCTATCTATCTATCTATCTATCTATCTATCTATCTATCTATCTATCTATCTATCTATCTATCTATCTATCTATCTATCTATCTATCTATCTATCTATCTATCTATCCATCCGTCTATCTATCTATCTATCTATCTATCTATCTATCTATCTATCTATCTATCTATCTATCTATCTATCTATCTATCCATCCGTCTTCCTATCCCTCCATCCATCCATCCATCCATCCATCCATCCATCCATCCATCCTTCTATCTATCTATCTATCTATCTATCTATCTATCTATCTATCTATCTATCTATCTATCTATCTATCTATCTATCTATCTATCTATCTATCTATCTATCTATCTATCTATCTATCTATCCCTCTCTCTGTCCATCTATCTACCCATCTATCCATTCGTCTGTCTGTCTGTCTGTCTGTATGTCTATCTATCCATCCATCTTCCTTTCCCTCCATCCAGCCATCCATCCATCCATCCATCCATCCATCCATCCATCCATCCATCCATCCATCCATCCATCCATCCATCCATCCATCTATCTATCTATCTATCTATCTATCTATCTATCTATCTATCTATCTATCTATCTATCTATCTATCTATCTATCTAACCATCTATCTGTCCTCCACCAGATGCGGGTCAGAAGAGCGGCAGGTTTTTGGCTCGTCATGTTGGCATCAATGACCTCGATGAGCGTTTCAGAGACGTTGCCGAGACGTTTAATAAGCAGCAGGAGCATTATGAGACCATGAAGGACACGCTCCAGAATCTCGCAAACCACTACAAATGTCCATCCAAAGACAGTCTGTCTCAGTGCCTGAAGAAAATCAAGCAGGATCACGGTAAGACCTTCAGACGTGCGTCACGGCCTGCAGGGGGCAGAGACGACCGCGCGCGCACACACACACACACACACACACACACACACACACACACACACACACACACACACACACACACACACACACGCACACACACACACACACACACACCATATGATGAGCTTATTCATGCCAGAGCAGCACTTCAGTTACTTCTGAAGCAGAAAAACAGTTCATATATTATTATTAGTCATAACAAATAATGTCTACCTTGGATTCAAGTTATACAGTGAAATAATTTCAGACACTTTCAACATTTCTCATATTATGTCAGGTCATTCACTATGGAAAATGGTAGTAGACTGTGGTGAAAAATCATTGAGGAAATCAATTCTTCATCAACTCTGAGATTTTCAAAATGGATCTCTATTCCTACGGTGGCCGAGCAAAACATAGAATGGGCCAAAATTCCTGCAAACTACTGTGAGAAGCTTGTGGAAGAATACCCAAAACATTTGACCAAAGTTCAACAGTTTAAAAGCAAAGCTGAAAAATACCAAGGAAATGTGCGTAAACTTTTGACTGTCTAGAAATTAATTTAAAAAATAATAATAAAAAAAATTCTCTCATTATTTTGGCATTTAGCAAATGTAAATGATTTAGGTAATCCTAACAGATCTAAACTAGTAAACGTTTAGTATCATTTACCATCAGACATTTAAAAAAGAAATGGTTATGTTCCTTATTTGTAAACTTCTGGTTTCAACTGTCCGCATTTTCATCCATTTACAGGTCAGACTAAGTATGTTGTTTAATTTTTACATAAATATGTTACTTTAATTATTCATCTTAATATGTTATTTTAACATTTCATTTACATCAACAATTATTTGAAACATTAAAGTGGATGCAATACTTGCATTTAACATGTAGACTTTTTTCTGATGGCAAGTCTTGTCTTTGAAAAAAAATATATAAACCTTTTTATAAGTACAGTTTTGAATGCATTCATCAGTGTGTGAACTGTGTAAATGTGTCATCAGCCTGTGAAAATTCACTGTAATTAGTCCGTTACTCTTTTCTTTAATAAAAATAGTAGTATATAATAGTCCCCTGAGTCATAAGTACGTGACTCAGCAATGAATTCATCAGCTCTACTGGGCGCAGAATCTGTAATGTCGTTCCATGAGTCACATCCTTCTCCATTATTTCCGTCCTCATCGACGACATCTCCATTTTCCCTCATTAGAGCTGCAGCACATCAGTCTGGAGGTGAAGGGCTACGACTTCTCTCTGACGGTGAGATCAGACACGGAGATCTCCAGCGGGCTGAAGAGGACACAGGAGAGCATCGCGGAGATGAGCAAAGCTGCGAAAGCCGTCATTTCTGTGGCCACCAAACTGCAGGAGATGATGGACTGGCTCCTGAAGGAGGAGGAAAGCATGATTCAGCGGGTGGAGGCCGCCGAGTCCAGACATCAGGAGCAGAGGAGACTGCTGGACAACCTGAAGAAAAACCTTGTGGAAACTCGGAGGGCTAAAGAACTGAGTCCTAAGTACAGGAAAGAGGCTGGGAATCTTCTGAACGAGGCTGCCGTGCTCTCCGGGATCACACCGTAGAGTGAAGCATTCTGTTAAAAATAAAGGTTGTTTATAGAGGGGAGTAACTATGATGCACATTGTAGGCCAATGGGTTATATGCACACAGACTTTTTAATTTTCAGTCTGCCAGCTCAGGTGCTTCTATTGAACTTTTGCGCCACGTTTAACATCTGAATTCTTTAAAAATCATTGATCTTCACTGCCTGATAGATATACAATATGAAGAGGGTCTCAGACCAGGCAAGAAGCACTTCTTTACACTGCATTGCTCCCGCCGTCTCTTTAAATTTACGGAGGTTTATTATTTAACTCCAGTATTTTCAGTGGAGTTTCTGCGCTCACCTGCTGCTACTGAGGGCGCTTGTGTTTAAACGGTTTTTCATCTCGTTTTACACCTGAACAATGAATTGAATGCTTAAGTCTGTTTAACTGATTGGATGTTAATTGCATTGCAACATCAGTGCTGTAAAAGGAGCCTTAGGAAATTGAAAATAGTCACATTATTGGCTTGAAAAAGCATTAAAATAGTTCCTGGCGAAGCAGTGGCGCAGTTGGTAGTGCTATCGCCTCACTGCAAGAAGGTCCCTGGTTCGAGCCTCGGCTCAGTTGGGGTTTCTGTGTGGAGTTTGCATGTTCTCCCTGCATTCGCGTGGGTTTCCTCCGGGTGCACCGGTTTCCCTCACATTCCAAAGACATGTGTACAGGTGAATTGGGTAGGCTAAATTGTCCGTAGTGTATGAGTGTGTGTGTGAATGTGTGTGTGGATGTTTCCCAGAGATGGGTTGCGGATGAAAGGGCATCCGCTGCGTAAAAACTTGCTGGATAAGTTGGCGGTTCATTCCGCTGTGGCGACCCCGGATTAATAAAGGGACTAAGCCGACAAGAAAATGAATGAATAAATGAATAAAATAGTTCCCTTGAAAAAAAAACCATTGAATTTTTCCATAACCTTTTATTCATTCATTCATTCATTTTCCTTCGGCTTAGTCTTCAATTTATCAGGGGTTACCACAGCAGAATGAACCGCCAACTATTTCAGCATATGTTTTACACAGTGGATGCCCTTCCAGATGCAACCCAGTGGAGGGGGGCATTAACTAGGGGGTCAAACCCCCCTGTAGTTCACACTCTCATGGTGACGTAGAAGGCGAGCGATCTTTGTATAGTCATGAGTTGCATTATTTTGCGCTACAGGGGAATTGAATTAGCTAAAATCGTCCATAGTTTATGGTGAGAATGTGAGTGATAAGTGTTTCCCCGTACTGGGTTGTGGCTGAAAGGGCTCAGAAAGGGCGTAAAACATGCTGGAATAGTTGGCGGTTCATTTCGCTGTGGCGACCTCCGATTAATAAAGGGACTAAGCTGAAGGAAAATGAATGAATGAATTATTTAGCTCTAAAGAGGGAAGTAAATTAAAATAACAGGATAAAATAATGTAACATATATAAAACTAATAAAATATTTAAGGCAATATATGCAATATAATGCAATATAAAAATAGTATATCTCAGCACACAGCTGATTGAGAACAGTGCAGTGCAGACAGCACTATATATTGGGTAAATAGCACTAAATGGCACTGAGTTGAGTAATGAAGGGCTATTATAAGCTTTGTTCATTATTGAAAGTTATTAAAGATCAAAAATTGAAATATTACATTATTCGGACCTTATAGGGAAAATGTCACTTTTGCGTCTTGATTAAAATTAAGTCAGCTAATACTTTAACGTTAAAAAAATGTACAGAAGAATATAAAGTTGTTGTATTTTTTTAAATGAGTATTTTAGCTTATTTTATTCTTACTCCATAATGAATTAAAAATGTGAATTTTTTAATTATATAAAAAGGATATGAAGGAAAACGATATAAAAAACTGTATTTATAATTCGTCATATTCTTGCACATTTTAGTAATTGTATTTTGTAATCTAATTTTGATAGTTTGACTAAACTCTTTTAATAATTGTTGTTTCGTTGTTTAAATTGTATTTCATGTTTTGATTGCACTATATCAATAAAAGATGAATCATTAAATCTTCTATATGTCTATCAGCATAAATTAATCTACCATTGTTTATTTATATATAATATTATTATGTTATGTACTACAGCTTTTGTTGATTGTTTAGAATTTTCCCTCAATTTTTTACTAAATTTAAATTTTTATTATTAATATAAAATGATATTTATATCATTTTATACATTTATGTTTAATCAGATTTGGTTATTTTACTGTTTTTAAACTACAAAAACTCGGGGCCAGGTTGTGGGGTCTCAAGAGAGAACCCCAGACTAACCTCTCCCCAGACCAGGATCAGGGGAGATCCAGAGGTGTTCCCAAGGTAGCCAAGAGACATAGTCCCTCCAGCGTGCCCTGGGTCTTCCCCGAGGCCTCCTCCCGGTGGAACATGCTTGGAACATCTCCCTAGTTTCTAGGAGGCATCCGAAACAGATGCCAGAGCCACCTCAGCTGACTTCTCTCAATGTGGAGGAGCAGCGGCTCTACTCCAAGCTCCTCCCAGGTGACAGAGCTCCTCATCTATAAGGGTGCGCCCTGCCACCCTGCGAAGGAAGCTCATTTCAGACGCTTGTATCCGAGATCTTTTCCTTTCAGTCATGACCACAAAGCTCATGACCATAGGTGAGAGTAGGACCGTAGATTGGCCGGTAAATCGAGAACTTTGCCTTTCTGTTCAGCTCCTTCTTTACCACAATGGACCGGTATATCGACCGTATTATTGCTGCCGCTGCACCAATCCGCCTGCCAATCTCTTGTCCCATACTTCCCTCACTCATGAATAAAACCCCAAGATACTGGAACTCCTCCACCTGGGGTAAGGACTTTCCTCCAACCTGGACATGGCAAACCACATTAAAACCACAATAAAAATTGTAATTAATATTTTTTATATCTCATTTTGGTTTTAAATTAAAATTATAATGTAATATTTCATGTTTTTATGTTAAAGCAGCCATTTTGGAAGATTTTAGTTTACATTTTCCAGTCCAAATCCAGTTTAAAGTTTAAAATAATCAACAAATATGGATAATAATTCAGTTTATCACAGGACCAGCAGTTTTAACTGCAGCTATTATACTTATCCTTGAAAATAATTGAAAATATACACTTACATACAGCTATTTATGACATAAACCAAAAAGTAAACAATAGTATCACCGTAATATTGCTCGTAAATTAATGCAATGCTGTTTTTAATTATTAGTTAACGTAGAAGTTGGCAAGTTGGCAGAATTAAGTACATTTATTTTAATTATTAAACATATTTAATTTACTTTCTACCTTTATAATCTATCACAAGCCACAAAGCAAGCATGTAAATCCCGTTATGAATAACGCATGATGACAATACTGACTAGATATTAAAGTTTGAGGACAAACTTTATGGTGGCTTGAAAAGCCGAATCTGAAAGTTTGAAGTGGTTGAATTAGCATGTTACTAGCATGATTCTAGCATGAATTAGCATGCTACTAGGATAATTCTAGCATGAATTAGCATGTTAGTAGCATGATTCTTACATGAATTAGCATGTTGTTAGCATGATTCTAGCATGAATTAGCATGTTACTAGCATGATTCTAGCATGAATTAGCATGTTGTTAGCATAAATCTAGCATAAATTAGCATGTTACTAGCATGATTCTAGCATGAATTAGCATGTTGTTAGCATGATTCTAGCATGAATTAGCATTTTACTAGGTGGTTGCTAGGGTGTTTTAAGTGGTTGCTAGGTGGTTGCTAAGGTGGTGCAAGGCAGTTGCTAAGGTGGTCTGACTAGTTGCTAGGTGGTTGCTAGGGTGTTGCTAGACGGTTGCTAGGGTGTTTTGAGTGGTTGCTAAGTGGTTGCTAAGGTGGTGCTAGGCAGTTGCTAAGGTGTTCTGACTAGTTGCTAAGTGGTTACTAAGGTGTTGCAAGGTGGTCGCTAGGGTATTCTGAGTGGTTGCTAGGTGGTTGCTAAGGTGTTGCTAGGCGGTTGCTAGGGTGTTCTGAGTGGTTGCTAAGGTGTTGCTAGATGGTTGCTAAGGTGTCCTAAGTGGTTGCTAGGTGGTTGCTAGGGTATTCTGAGTGGTTGCTAAGGCGTTGCTAGGTGGTTGCTAGGGTGTCCTGAGTGGTTGCTAGGTGGTTGCTAAGGTGTTGCTAGGTGGTTGCTAGGGTGTCCTGAGTGGTTGCTAAGGTGTTGCTAGGCGGTTGCTAGGGTGTTCTGAGTGGTTGCTAGGTGGTTGCTAAGGTGTTGCTAGGTGGTTGCTAAGGTGTCCTGAGTGGTTGCTAGGTGGTTGCTAAGGTGTTGCTAGGTGGTTGCTAAGGTGTTGCTAGGCGGTTGCTAGGGTGTCCTAAGTGGTTGCTAGGTGGTTGCTAAGGTGTTGCTAGGCGGTTGCTAGGGTGTCCTAAGTGGTTGCTAGGTGGTTGCTAAGGTGTTGCTAGGCGGTTGCTAAGGTGTCCCAAGTGGTTGCTAGGTGGTTGCTAAGGTGTTGCTAGGTGGTTGCTAAGGTATTCTGAGTGGTTGCTAAGGCGTTGCTAGGCGGTTGCTAGGGTGTCCTGAGTGGTCGCTAGGCCCTTACTAAGGCATTACTAGGCCGTTGCTAGGTGGTTGCTAGGCGGTTGCTAGGGTAATTTGGGTGGTTGCTAGGCAGTTGCTAGGGTACCCTGGTTGGTTACTAGGCAAGCCTCACATACATGATTGATAAAACATTTATACTTAGTAAGCATTTCTAGCAAGTTACAGTACTGGGCTAGTCAATATTAGCATGTAGCTAGTCACTGCTAGCATGTGTAGCATATAGGAAGTTCCGTTTGCTAGCATGAGTCAAACGAGCCAATCTCCAAGTCTCTACGATGTTCTGATGCTGAGATATAGCTGTTGATGAATGGTTGCTAGGGTACTCTGTTTTGTTGCTATGGGCGAGGTTACAGAGTGAACTTGAATGTGGTTGGTTGTCTTAGTCGAATGAACCAACCCCCATGTCTCTATGACACTGCTATGCAAAGATATGCATCTTGGCCTATTTTAATGGAAGTCTATGGAATCAATTTGGGGGCGGGGCTTGTGAGCTTCATTATCATATTGAGATGCTCATTGGTTGTCTGAGTCAGATGAGCCATCCCCCAAGTCAATAGGACACTGCTATGCAAAGATATGCATGTAGGCCAGTTATTAACATGAGTCTAGTTTGAATTAGCATGTTACTAGCATGATTCTAGTACAAATTAGCATGTCATTAGCATGTTTCCAGTATGAGTTAGCATGTCATTAGCATGATTAGCATATGAGTAGCATGTTGCTAGCATGATTGGCATGTCATTAGCATGTTAGAATTATAAGCATTTTATAGCACAGCTAATTACATTCTATAGGACAGTTGCTAGGGTGCAGTATGTGGTAGTTAGGGGTGTGGCTAGAAAGTTAAAAGGCCATCAGTGATTGGCTGCTGGCTAGACTGAGTTAAATGAGCTCAGCCATTAGTCTGTGTGACAGTCTGATGCAGAGTTATGAGCTCACAAAGTTTGATCCCATGTTAAGTCAATGAGAGTCTTTCGAATGGAAGTCTAC